TGAGAAAAGTAGAATTGGTCAAAACACACAGTTCTGACAAAGAAGAGACAAAGGCCAGGAGATGGTGCTCGAAAGAGGCTGTCCTATTCAAGGGAGGAGTCAAAGTTGAAGGCAAGCCTTTTGAGAGTCACCGGGGAAACCAAAGCTGGGGAATTTACAGAACACGCCCCAATATTTGATATATTTCATATATGTACACTATGCAGAGCATACACACCGAATACACGTAATGTGTGTGACATAAGACGTAAATATGTGTGTCTATAAGCACATTCTTCTCTAATTGAGTAAATGGGCAGTTAAGGGTTGGGGGACATCGAGCATAAAGTTCTAAACACTCTTCGGTCAGTTGCAAGTGGAAAATATATACAAATTTGAGAAGGATGAGAAGAGTTGTGGCAAGAAACAGGTGACCTTTTAAGCACCAAGGAAGAATTACAGGCTGAGAATCAAACAGAGTAAAACCACCTGCCCCAGAGTGATAGTTTGTCTTCCCCCAAATTCATCTGTGGAAACCCAATTCCCAACGTGATGCTGGGTGGAGTGGGCTTATGGGAGGCAGATCCCCCCAAGAAAGGGATCTGTGCCCTATGAAAGTGACCCCACAGAGCTCCCTTACCCCTCCACCCTGTGAGGACAGAGCAAGAAGGCGGCCACACATCACCAGGAAGGAGGTACCACCAGGCGCCCAATGTGGCACTGTTCGATTTTGGTTCTACTCAGCCTCCAGAACGGGAGACACAAATCTCTGCTCTAAGTCACCCGGTCTATGGCATTTTTGTTATCACAGCCTGAATGGACTAAGAAACCCTCCTTGGACGAAAGTCTGGCATGGAGCCCCGTTTCCTGCTGAGGCCTGTGGGGAAGGTGAGCCACAGAGAGGGACTGAGCCACCAGGAGAGTCTGGGCCGGGACCACGGGAGTCAGGGAGAAGTGGCAGAGAGGCAAGAGGGAGAAGACAATAAGAATCTCCCGTCCTAAGCCACCTGTCAGGGCTGTGCTTCCCTGAACTCCCACTGAGGCATCCTCTGGAGCATCTCCGCGGGACCACAGGGCTGTGCCCTCATCACCTCACTTGGGAACTGTATCTCCTCTTTTCACAGATGAAGTCGGTGCCTGTAGGAGGAGACTCAGGCTCCAGGAGGGGACACCAAGGGTGGGAGGGTAAAGACGACACAACCCAGGGGAACGCTGAAACGCTCGGTCTTCATGAAATGTGAGCTGACGCGGATCCTGATGACAACGAAGCTGGGGACGTGCTCGTGGAGATGAGGGGGGACAAGAGGAACTAGGTGAAGTATTGGAGAACAGAGTGTGCACATTAGGAACCTGGCCCCTTATAGTTGCAGAGAAGGGAAACCAGGCAAATGCATGGGAAACTGTCGTGGAGCCAGTATTTCCACTGTTACTGTGAGCGCCTAACAGGGAATATTGGCTGCCTGATGGATGTTGAAGGAGAGCAAACACTGGCCCACAAGCCTTGCTGAGAGAGTCCGGGAAGATGGGGTCCAGCGAAAGCGGAGCCAGATAAGAACAGCTCTAGCACACGTGAAACAATGCCACGGAACCATTTTCCAAGTGTTCAGACGCCACAAAGACACAAGAATTACGCATCACAGATTCATCGATGTTCTCAAGCCATTTTGCTCACTCGGGCCCCTGGAAATTATGTAGCTTCATGCTCCCAGCATTGATGGGATGGAGATCCCATTTTCAATGGTTTCAGATGAAGGCACCGAGGGGGACATACATGAGATGATGAATAACTTGGCCAGTAAACAGCCAGGAGGCTGAAACCATGGCACCTGGGCAGACAGAGCTGACCCTCAGCCCCGAGCTCTTTGGAGCTGGAGCGTTGTGAGTTTGGAGCTGGGCAAAGCAAGCCTGCAAGAGGCCCCATTGCTGCCCCCACCCACAACCCTGTGACTAGAGCTACCACTCCCCCCGCACCTCTCACCTTGGAAGAGCGGCCGTTGGCTCCCAGAAACCATCGTGGCTGCCAGTCTCCTGATGGTGGGGGAGGGGCGGAGCCTGGCTCTGTGGTCACCACAAGCCACCTGCTGGTCCGGCTGCCCTGGCACAGAATTGGCCACCTGGGTATCTGACTGTGGCGGTGCTTGTGAAGCTTGCACCTCCGTCCTTGGGAAAGTCAAGTTTCCACTCGATGGCCCTTGGGGACCGGGCACCTGCATCGGGGCTGAAGCAAGAAGACACTTCAATGGACAAACCCCAGTTTTCTTAACTCAGCACTGCCAGAACTTCCATTTGTGATGTACTCCCACCTCGTCCCCCACCGTCTGTGAGACCAGCCAGTGAGCAGGTACAAAGGCAGACATCATGGATACGAAGGCGATGTCACCGTTGTGTCTATGCCTGGGCATGCTGAGATGGCAAGTGTCCAGGACGCAAAGTCCCTGAAGGGAAGGTCACCCCCTGGAGTCCAGACAGATTTGCATGGGAGGCGGGCTCATGCCTATTATTCTGTAGTAGTACCCTTCATCCTACAGCCTAGAGAGAAGGTTCTAGAGAGGCCTCAGGGCAGAACGAGAAAGAATTGCTGATATGTGCCCCAAAAGAAAAAAGAAGAGGGGGAGAATTTGGCCTCAAGGCTTCAGATGCCTGTTTCTCCCTGGCTGGTCCCAGCGCAGGGAGGCTGGGGCAGGGCAGCCCTCCTGGGGCGCCCCCTGCGGCAATCACAGCCCACACACACTGTTCCCACGTTCCCACCAGAACCTGCACCGGGGACGGGCTGTGCATAATGGAGACGCTGCCTTCATTCATCTCCGCCCATCCTCGTAGCCTCTCATGGCCCAGGCTTAATGCAAGGCCATGTCACACACATCACCCTCCTGAGACGCGTCTTAACCTGTCCCATCCCTGCCCCCATGGAAACCCAGACCTGGCTGTCAGTGTCTCTGACACAGAGCTCTGCAGGGTGACCAGGGTGCCAGGCAGCCAAGTGAAGAGCCACCATGGGAACCCTAGTGAGAACAGAAATCGTCTGGGACCTCTCAGCCCTGATTGCTTTTCATGGAGCGTCTCCTGGAGACCTTGAGCTCCTGGAGGGGCTGGATGAGCCCTGGCTCTGCTCACACCACAAAGTGCACTGACAGGGTAGGAGCTGGCACTCCTGCAGGGTCACAGGGGTCGTTGGGGCGTCTAGCAACTGTTCTCTTTGCATTTACGACTGTTTCAGATCATTTGCGTAGAACTGGGTGCTCTGGTACACAGGGAGGCGGGCGCCCCAGGAGAAACAACTAGCAGCTCAGCAACGATTTAACAGATGCAGCCAATGTGGAGCTGACCACAAATGTGTGTGGAAAGCCAGGGAGTTTGTAGGAAGCCACACAAGAAATACAATTGGCAGCAGAATTGCACAAGTAGCAGAGGTCTCCTTTTGGAACAAAACAAAATCAGGAAAAAACAAAGGAGGACTGTCACCCAGCTGTCTCCGGGTAAGATAGCGGTGGCTGAGATTCTGAACGCTTTTTTCCATTTTCTCCATTTCTCCTCTCGAGCCTCACTTGGTACCAACAGCCTGCATGTTGGACGGGGCCGGGGGACAGAGGGCAGCCTGGGACAGAAGGAAGGAAAGGGCTCTGAGCCACAGGATGCCTTTTAAAGAGTGAATCCGAGAGCAGAGTTCAAACCGGTACGAGCCTACAGCGCCTGTTGGCAGGGATGCAACTCTCAGCCGATTCAGGTTGTTGAAGACACAGAGGACAGGCTTCCTGGGGCCCCAGCAGGAACTTCGTGCCCCTCACAAGAACAGGACTCACCATCTACATCCACGCCCAAGAAGACTTCCTGTTTATCAAAGGTGAATGAGGCACTCCTATAAGGCCTATAGGTGTCTGACAGGTCATGGCCAAAGGAAGGAGTCAAATTACATTCCCCCACTGAGTCCTGTGGGACTTCATCCTCTGGGGCCACTGGCAGCTCCCTGCAGAGCCTGGTGTTGCTGGGAGGACGAGACATGCAGAAAGAAGGTTTAGTCAACATGCAGTGCCAGCTAGTTTTGAGGGCAGGACGGAGGGACTGGTCACAGAACACAAGCGGGATCCCCACAAAGGGAAATGAAGCAGTCTGCCTGAAGCTGGGGCCACAGTGTGGGTGCACCCGGGATAGGTGCAGGGACGGGGGTGTGGGGGCGGGCAGGTGCTCAGGGCATGGCCAGAGCGCCAGCTTATGGGGCAGGAGTCGCAACCACCCCAGGGCACAACAGTCATGACCCACAGCACACCAGAGGACGATAAAGCAGCATCAACACTTTGGCATACACTGTGTGGAGATTTACACAAAGCACCAAGAGAACCCCAGGCTAAGGCAGCATTGTAGACTCCTGGATATCTCGTGGGCCCAAGGCCGACGTGTCTAAATACTGAGACGTGAAAACTGTTTTCCTAAAACCATCCTTGCTGTGAATGCCCGCCAATGTGGTAATGGCAACCGGCAGAGAGAGCTGTGCATCTTACACGGGACCTAATACGAGGAGAGACCGGGAGAGTGCAAGGCATCCTGGGACTGCTTAGTCCACCTGCGTCAGTGGACGGCAGATACTCCATTTGAGAGGGATTAATAACGGGGTCTATGCGAGTACCACATGACACAGAGGACCTTGCTGAAGGACCACCTTGTGGGTGTCGGAAGGGATGAAATAGGTGCATTTAGCACTTTCTAGATTGGCCTAGATCTGAGATCCCCAGATGTCACCACTGAATTAAAGCCCATGATTCTTCAGAGTTACCTGGGGCATGTCGGGTCCTGGTCTTCTTCATCGCAAAGATCATTATGATTGTCTACAAGTAAATACAGACCGGCCAGTCACATAAACAGAGCAGCACTTGGACATGAAAATTAAGTGTCCCACGCAACTAGCACATGGGCACTAATGTCCTTAGTTGGGCAGCAGGGCATTGAGAGAAATAATCCAGGAGGCCTCACGAAGTGTCTTGGGAATGTGCCTTGGCTAGCTTTCCTAAAGCATTGGGCAGGATTTCCCTGATCTGGTAGAGCCCCATCTCAACAGTCTGTCTGCAGAGGCCAACCTCTGTTTTTTTTTAATTTTTTTTTTCAACGTTTATTTATTTTTGGGACAGAGAGAGACAGAGCATGAACGGGGAGGGGCAGAGAGAGAGGGAGACACAGAATCGGAAACAGGCTCCAGGCTCTGAGCCATCAGCCCAGAGCCTGACGCGGGGCTCGAACTCACGGACCGCGAGATCGTGACCTGGCTGAAGTCGGACGCTTAACCGACTGCGCCACCCAGGCGCCCCGGTCAACCTCTGTTTTACTGCAGATTCTGGTGAACAGCTTACCTGCATTCTCAAAACTTACTGCAACCTTCTCTCACTAGCTTCCCTCATGACATACTCTAGGTGGCAGGGTTTTAGGGAATTTCTACAGAGGCCAGACTGATGCACGGAATCTGCAGACCCTCAAATCAAAGGAAATCTTTTGTCCGTGATCCCTTTTGCTACACAGGCACATGGGCCATGCACGGGGTGGGGCCATGCCGGGGCTCAGCTATGCTTCAGGGAAACGTACAAGCAAGCTGATGGTAGAGGTGGTTATGTCCTGACACTCAGACGACGACTTAGGGAAGACAACCAACACAGAGGACACAGAGGACAACCAACACTGGGGACCAGAGCAGCGAAACCAGGGAAACAACAAACCCAAAGACATGGGTAAGGCTGACATCGCCTTGACAGGCACAAAACTTCAAGGAACATTGTTTGGGATGAAAGTGAGAGGATGGCAGTTGAGGAGACACATTGTGTGGAAATCAGGAACCAGACAGACTCCTCTGCGTGTGCCTCACAGATGAGTGTGGGTTTGTCACACCCGCCCTGACCCCAATGTCCTGACTTGTGTCAGGAGCCACAGGCATGGCCTGAGATGAGGAACAGAGGGCAGGGCCCTGATGCATCTGATGTCTGTGCTTAGAAGTCTATCCTAGAGCCTGACTCAGATCCATATGTCTACGGGGCTGAAACACCTGGATAACAAATTCCAACATAAGCAGAGTAGGGATACCAAACTATGGGGTCGACTTGGGATTCCAGTTGGAGCTTTATCACCTTCACAGTGGAGGACTCACTAGCTACTTCCAGAGCAGGACAGACATCCAGATCCTCATATGAGTTGATGTTGGGCCTGCTGTGGGTCCAGGGGGAATCAGATGGGTCAGGAAGAGCTGAGTAAGTCAAATAGCGTTCATCCAGTGAGTCCTGTTGGACATCCTGCTCTGCACTCTCCGGCAGCTCCCTGCCGAGCCTGGTGGGGAGGGGAGGTCTGAAGATTAAAACAGGAAAAGCAGACACCACAGCATCTTACTGGTTTTCACGGGAAGCCGAGAAGTGTGGTCATAACGTAGGGGCAACCCCATTATTGACAGGGAAAACTATCCTCCTGTTTCAGGGGCACAGTGTGGATGCTCTGGGGGCAGGAGAGGCAGAGAGGGAGAGACAGGGAGACACACACACACACACACACACACACACACACACAGAACAGAGGTGTTCAGGGCACTGGCCACAGAACCAACTTCTGTGCACCAAACTGAACTACTGTGGAATGGATGTCATGACTCACAGCACACATGGAGAATCGTAAACATGAGTTCAACCCTTTTGCATAAATTTTGTTGATATACATTCAGTGGCTAAGTGAACACATGTTAAAAGGCATCATCCACATGGAGAGATTTGTGTCTTCAAGGACTCTTTCTCTTACTATCGTGACATCATGTGAGGTTTTTTAATTTTTTTGCAGTTATCCATTTGCTACAGCAGATCCTCAAAGAGGTAACACCAGAGAGACAGAAGTAGACACGTCTGTCACTCTGGTGTTTCCCAAAGGAGAGATCAGGGCAATACAGAGCACCTCAGGGAGTGACAATTCACCTACTTCAACTGACTGCCGGTTATCGAAATTGAGGGATCATTAAAGGAACTTATCCACATAACACATGAAGACACACGTCATGGCCAAAAAAGATATTCTGAGACTGGAAATGGATGAAATAGGTAAATTTGGCGGTTTCTGTTTTTCCTGTGAAATGTAGAGTTGAACCACTGAAATAACAACCCATGATTCTTCAGACTTACCTGGCGCATGTCAGGTCTTGGTCTTGTTCCTCCTCTTGATGGGTCTGATTTTCTGCAAATAAATACAGACGGGGCCAGTCACATTAAACAGATCCCTGCTTGCACATTAGTAACCCAGTGTTCGGTGCCACCCGGGGACTCAGCTATGCTCAATGAGAGCACAGGTTGAGTGAGAAGGATATTTCAGGGTGCCTCGGATAGTGTGACAACTGGCTTGATTTCCTGGCCTGAGCCATTGGGAGAAATTTGCTCTCTCCAAGAGATCATCATCACAATTTCCTCTGTTTTGAGTCTGTGCAAACACTTTCAGTTCTCTTTTTCACACAGATTCTGGGGACCTGGCCTCTCTACCTTCTGAAAGGATTACTGCAGTTTTCAGCCTTCTCTCGTGAGATACCTGGTTGGTGACGGCTTAGTGGAATTTATACACTGAGATGGAACAGAGAGCATGCAAGTACAAACCCTCAAATTAAAATGAGTCTTTGGAGCTACACAGAAACCTTGGCGCAATTCCTGTGGTGAGGGAATGCCAACGCACAGCTCTACTCCTGGAAACACACAAACGAGCTAACAGTAGAGGACGTAGGGTGGGTTTTCAGACGAGGCTTAGGAAGACAAGCCAAAGCAAAGAGATAGAGAATGAGGCTAAGAACAGGAAAGCCAAGGTTACATCTTTCACCCTGGACAAGGATTCCGACTGACTGTGGCAGGCATGGATTCTTAAAGGACCTGGCTCAGAGATGAAATGTGGAGCATGAAAGGTGAGAAGAGGCATTGCATCCAAGGTCTGACAGACACCGTCTATGGTCGTGTTGCTGAGGCGAGTCGTATCTGTCATGCCGCCCTTGGGTCCAATGACCTGACAGTGAAGCCCAGGGGACATGGGCATGTCCTGGGAGTAGGAAGGGAGAAGAGTTCCCTGACCCACATGATGTCTGTGCTTGAAACTCCATCCATCTTGGAGCCTGGCTCAGATCAAGATGTGTGTACAGGGCCTGCACACAGGGATGAGCTCTCTCAGCACAGCACAGGTGTGGGGCACAAAGACCAGGAGATGTACGGGGCAGTCCAGCTGGAGCTTGATCACCCTGACAGCGGAGTACTCACTGGCCATTTCCAGAGCAGAAGAGACTTCCAGTTCCTCAGGGAAGAAGATGGCGGTGCTCCTGTAAGGCCAGTAGGAGTCAGACAGGTCAGGAAGAACCGAATATGTCCAGTAGCGTTCATCCAGAGAGTCCCGTGTGATTTCCTCCTCCACCACCTCTAGCAGCAGTCTACTGAGCCTGAGTCAGGGGGAAAACTGAAGATTAACCAAAGAGGGATCTGAAATCCTACGTCCTGTCTGGCTTTGATGGAAGGCAAAAGGCATTTTCACAAAAGCAAAGAGAGTGCCTCATTAATGAGAGCAACAACTCTTCTTTTTGTGTGGGACGAGGTGTGTCTGTCACAGGGGCGGCATACAGAAAGGACAGTAAGTGCTCTGTACACTGGCTACCTAGCAAGCTGATGAGGAAAGAGCCTGAATGAGCACCGTGCCATCCAGTCCTGACTCAAACACACAGAGTCACAGGACAGCAGTGGCTCCCTCCCTTCCGTTCAAATGCCCTTGAGTCCTGCATGGACTGGACCAGTGCGTGCAGCTTCGGGGGCGGGCTACTCTCTCAGAATTCTCATGCCATGAAGGCCTGTCTCTCTCAATATCACGGCATGATGGCACATTTTAGTCTACGTACATTCTTGCTCTGAAATACATGCCCACCCGCTAAATCGAACGGGGCAGAAAGTTGATTGCCTTTCTCTCGAATGCTGGGGAGAATGGTGAGTGCAGGAATCCCTGTGCCTTTAGCTCACCTGGGCCAGCTGACTGTGTGTTACTCAACTTGAGTCATAATTAAGAAATGGGAGCGATACAAGTACCACAATGAAAACAGAAACCATTGTGAAAGCCGATAATTGGCCATTGACCGAATGGATAACATGGTTCTATCCAGCACTTTCTGCCTTTCCTTGGATCTGAGGTCTGCAGACGCCACCACTGATTTCCCAGCCCCCAAGTATTCAGAATTACCTGGGGGCATCTGACTCTCGCCCTTTCAGCCCCTCGTGACCCATTTGGTTGTCTGCAAATAAATGAAGAGAAAGTTCCATTAGGCAGATTCCCCTCCACAAATGCTCACTCCCATGTGCCGTGTAGCAGAGGACAGAAATAGAAGCACAGTCATAACAGGCAATTGAGAGAGAAATCATTCGGGAGGGATTCAGTAGGGCCCTGGAAAAAATCACTGGGATTGCCTTCTTGAGCAAATAAATGTCCCTGATATGACAGGC